CTGATATGTGGGATATTTGATAATGTGACTCCTGTGAAGGTCATTGAACCTGCAAAGAGGTTATGACCCACAGATCGAGGACCACTGTTTAATCCCAGCACAGGGAGGCAGAGGCAGGAGGACTACTAGGTTCAAGTACAACCTGGTCTTCATAGTGAGTCCCAGGCTAGTAAGGACTACACAGTGAGAGACTGTCTCAGGAAACAAACGAATTTGAGAAGAAAATCAAAAGGATGTAAATTTCATGCTATTGTACTAATGTCCTACAAGTGAACATGCGCAGTTACTGAAAAATCACTAATTAGCTCTTATCTTTGTGTGTGTGTGTGTCTATGGAGCTCAAGCATTTGTGCAGACGCCTCTAGAAGAGGCCTCAGGGCCTCTGGAGCTGGAGTTTCAGAGGCTTGGGAGACATGCAGTGTGGATGCTAGGAACAGAGCAGCCCCTAAAACGTTTAAGTGACAAGAGGTCACCTGACAGGCTGGCTAATGAGAGCGTGTGGGTCAGACCACCTTCTTCAGTGAAAAGAAGTCTTCACTCAAGCGATCATCTGAGCCTCGGAGCTGGAGAGAAGGCTCAGTGGTGAAGAGTACTTTAGCTCTTACGGAGGACCCAAGATCAGTTCCCAGTGCCCACATCAGGCAACTTGAAACCTCTAATTCCAGATCCAGGGCGATCTGATGCTCTGGCCTCTGTGAGCACCTGAACTTGCGAGCAGACTCCCCCTGCCCACACACACATAGGTAAAGATGATAACTCTGTGGGCACCTGAACTTGCGAGCAGACTCCCTCTGCCCACACACACATAAGTAAAGATGATAATAAACCTTTAAAATACATTTGAGTCTCCATCCAGCCACAGAATAAACACATCAGAACGATTCTGCCGAAAGTGCCGTTTACCAAGAACCTCGACTTCCTAACAATAGAGCGGAAACTACTTAAAAGCCACTGATTTGTTCCTAAACACCTGGAGAGTCTGTGTTAAGGGACTGAACCACATCATGAGGTCACTGTGCACAGTCTACAATGGGGTGCTTTATCTTCCTGTAAAAAGCACAGTTAAAGAACAGAGCAACCTTCTAAAAACTAGTCTCTTCTTGCACAAATTATCTTAGGGACAAAGTTAAGCATTTTCTGTCTGTAGAACAAGCAAATTTCATTTAAGTGAACGTCGTCTCTCTGGTAGAAATACGCAGTGAGGAAAGCGTGGGAACTGGTGCCCAGGATGATGGCTCGGCAGGGAAGAGCACCTGATAACCAGAGTTCAATCCTCAGGACCTGCACCGTGGAAGAGACAGCGGATTCCTGCAAGCTGTCATCTCATACCCCAGGCATGCCATGGCACACATGTGCCCATACAAGCACATGTGCACACACACCCCACACACATCACACACATGTACACACATGCACCACACGCACACCCCACACACACATACTATGCACACACACACACCACACATATACTACATGCACATGCGCACACACACACACCACATACACACACACACACACACCACACATAAATAAACGTAATTTAAAATTAAAACAAAAGGAAATTAATTTCACTTTCAACTTAAATAATGACTTTTTTTTCTCTAGTTTGTGGTACAGTAGTGATTCATAGTGAAGATGCCTCGTGATCTCCCTCACTCAACAATTCTATGTGTGTGTATGTTTCATAAACCTTTGGCACAGAATTTTAAAGTTAACTATACCTGATTATAGTTGATTGGTGAAACCCTCAGAAAAATTAAAATTAGCTAGGCAGTGGTGGTGCATGCCTTAATCCCAGCACTCAGGAGGCTGAGGCAGGTGGATCTCTGTGAGTTCTAGACCAGCCTGGGCTACAGAGCAAGTTCCAGGACAGGCTCCAAAGCTACACAGAGAAATCCTATCTCAAAAACGCTAAAATAAATAAAGAAAAAAGAAAAATTAAAATTATATTTGAAAACATTCTAATAAACATTTGTAGATATTCAAATACATAATGCATGCAAATAAACCTGATGCTTTTATAAAACTTTCTATCAGAAAACACCTTCTAGGGAGCAAAGGAGATGAGACAGCAGGGTCAAAGAAACAGTCCCATTAAGTGCCACGGCTCAAATCGCCAAATGAAGCAACTAGCACACACGCTGACAAACAGACCTATAGGAGGGCACCACATCATGGCCATCCTTTGTATGTTACGGTACTGTTAAACGGTTGGGAAATTAATAAAAGCCTGTAGTCATATCTGGGAAGGTATGTAGGCGGTACACACCTACAATGCCAACACATGGAGGATGGAGGCAGGAAATTCAAGAGGTCAAGTCTAGCCTCTGAGGCTACATAGCAATCAGAAGCTAGCCTGAGCTTCATGGGACATAGTCTCCAAAAAACTCAAAACAACAACAAAAAGCCTGCAGTCAAATGAAACATTTTCTTCTTTCTAAAAATATTCTTTTATGTGCATTGGTGTTTTGCCTGCATGTGTGTCAGTGTGAAGGCACCAGACTCCCTGGAACTTACAGACAGTTGTGAGCTGCCATGTGGGTAGTGGGAATTGAACCCGGGTCCTCTGGAAGTGCTCATAACTGCGGAGCCGTCTCTCCAATCCCAAATGAAGAGTTTTCAAAGCCCTGCCGTAAACTTCAGATATCAGATCATCAAACTCTAAAGAGCCCTCAAAGGCTCCACTCTTCCCTCAGCTGGCCTAAGACAAGATCTCCTTCATATTCTGTGTGTGCATGTGCTGGGGATGGAACACAGGCTCTCACACACACTAACCTCACGCTACCACCGAGCTACACCCAGAGTCGAGCATTTAAAGGGCACCTAAGCAGTGAAGAGTGTCTCCGTTGCTAATAGAATTGTTTTCACTTCTGAAGCTTTCTCTTCCTAGAATTATTAGGTTGAAACTTGGCTCCACCTTTAACTAGAGTCAGGAACAAAGCCTGAATGTATCAAGTTAAACAAAGTCATACAATGAGGTAATTTTTACAAAATGGCCCTGCTTTGCTAACCATGCCAACACACGGTCTCAGCCCAGAGACTCCACGGGTCAGGGACTACCTGATAACAGTACTTTCTTCACCCAACAGCTCCACCAGCTATATACTGAATTTCCGGAGAACTGAACAGACTCCAATCCCATTTTCAAAAGCCGTAGAGTTGACTGATATGAGTGGTAAAATAGCAGTCGGGAACGCTTCTCTTGTATGCACGTTCTCAGGGTTTGGGAATGGGGGGCAGAGAGAGAAGAAATACCAAAACAATATCGGCAAAAGATTTCACCAATATGGTAAGATGTATCAGTGGCGTGTCTAACTCATTTAATTGTAGGCTCTTTTAGGGTAGGGGCTTTGGAACTTCGAATCTACAGAAAAGCTTTCATAAAATTCATTGAAAAAGGGTTTTGTTCCCCCCAAAATTCCTAACATAATTTAGCACCATATTATGTTATTCTAGCAATGCAAAGGTATGTGTGTGCAGACCTTTAAAAAGAGGCCGACAAGATGGCTCATCGTGTAAAAGGTGCTTGCCACAAAGCCTAACACCTTGAGTTTAAGCCCTGAACCCACATGGTGGAAGGAAAGAGCAGACCCCCAGTTGTCCTCTGACCTACACACAACACAAATGCCATGGCACATACACAATAAATAAATGTAAAATGGTAAAAGAAAGGAAGAAAAAAAAAAACCATTGCAGGCTGGCAAGACAGCTCAACAGGTGAAAACATTTCCTGCACAAGTCTGAGGACCCGAGTTTGATCCTCCAACCCGAACGAAGAGAACCAACTCCTATAAGCTGTGACCTCCACAGGCCCACATGGCATGCTGTGCTGGTATTCATACACACACACACACACACACACACACACACACACACATATCCCACACACAAACGGCACATATTTATACGGTCAGGGATGGTGGAACAGCAGGCCTTCAACCTTAGCATTTAGCATTTGAGAAGCAGAGGCAGCCACATCTTGGTCGGCCTGGTCTATCTATACAGCCAGTTCCAGGCCAAGCAGGAACTTTTTAAAGGAGGAGGAGTCGTTTTTTGAAAAAAATGAAACAAAACAAAACCCTCTTCTGCCAACTTTCTAGCGTTTTGAAGATTGTCCAAACAAGATCACACTTCATCCATAGAACTCGGAAAGACCAGTAGTAGATGCAACTGGAATTATGTATACTGCACCAGAAACTATGTAGATAAAAAGTAGTCAGTCCACTTACCCACTCAGGTGCAAAAGACGATCTCTCCTCCAAGGAGCACTTGTCCTAAAAACCGATAACCCCAGAGCCTTTGGCTAACTTGTAAAGTCAACAGAACCATTGGATTAGGCAGATTTTTTGAAAGATGGAATTAGTTGCAAGACAATAGTAGGTCGGTATCTCTCACCAGGATCAGCTAAACTCATTGTTGGGAGCACCAATAAGGAGGCTAGGACGGGTGCCAGATGGTTCGCTCCTAGCACCCACAACTTCAAGCTTTAGTGTGTGTGGCCAGAGGTGTACAGTTACCTAATATTAACACGTAAGGATGTGAGTGAGCAACGGGTCCCAGCTCAAGTACATGAGAGCGATTTGAAAAGGAAAGCAATGAGGGTCTCCTATGTTCTCCACACTTCTCGGAATGGTATTAAGCCTTAATCAGAGTTCATCTGGAGGAATGGAAGGGAGAAAAACTGGAGAGGGAACGGCTGCATGGAAGAAGGAAAGAGTTGCCGGATTATCTCCCCGAGAAAGAGTTTTGACTTTTGATGAACTGCCACTTTCTCTCCATCCCGTGGGAGACCATGGGCCGGGGCAGCGAAGGCTCAAGCCCGCGCACTTCCCAAAAGGGCGAGCGGAGGGTGGGGGGCTCCTCCATTGCCGACCCCAAGGGGAGAGGTTCCCGCTCCTGCTACATACAGTCCGCCTCAAAGGCGCGGAGAGAACGCGGAGCGCAGCCCGAGACTCCGAGCATACCCAGGCTCCGGGGATGACGGGAGAGGAGGCTCTTACCAGACCAGAAAGCCGTCGGCGCTCGGCGTTGCACGGTCACGGTCCCTGCGCTCTACCCAGCGCACCTGTCGGGTCTGGGCTGCGGTACCTACGGCTCTGCGGCCCCGCCCAGGTCCGGCTCAGAACTCCGCCCGGCCCCGCCCCCGGCTGCGGCGCCGCGTACGCCTCCCGCCTCCCGAGCGGCCGTGGGGCCTGCGTGCTCGCTCCTGGCGTTGCGACTCGTGAGCGCTAGCGTCGCCCTAGCTGCGGTTTGAAGTTGCGGGAGGCGTGGCTCCTGTGTCTGCCTCCAACCCTGTCGTCGCCTCTCTGGCTCACTCTAACTCTCTCTGACTAGGGATTGCAGCAATTTGATTTAAGAATCACCCAGAAGTGTGGTCTAAGTTCAACTGCAGGGAAGTTCCTGGTGCTGTCAGGGTGAGTTCTATGCAGAGCCGTGGCCTGTGTAAAAAGCAGGGAGCGAATGAGGCCTGGCTTGGGCTAGCATTAGGCCATCTCAATTTAGTGGACCTGAGTTTCCTCATGGAGAGAAATGGCTGGAGAAGAGAGGAGGTGGTGTCCAAATTCTCCAGGAGCTGCTGTGGTTTGTTTTTTGCAACAACTGGAAGTTTTCCCTTGTTTTTTGAGACATGGGTGGCGGGTGGGGAGTCATCTGAAGACCACTTTGAGCTGTGGCTCATAGTTGGCTGTAACTTCTGCTCCTGGGGAGCTGACACCATCTTCACGCTCTACGAGCTCCTGCTCACCTCTCCCCGCCCCCCTACACACACACACACACACACACACACACGCGCGCGCGCGCGCGCGCCCGCGTAAGAAAAGGGCAATAGCAAGCATCCTAGAAGGCTCGGCCTTCTCACAGTCTCTGCAAGACCCGCCTCTGTTCCTGCACTTGGGCCATGAGGAGCTGTGGAGATTCTGAGGAGCCGTATCGTTTGGCCATCACGCCCTCAGATTCTTTCTCAAGCTCCATTCCTCTGCGTGATGCCCTTTGACAGTACCTTTTCCCAAGTAAAGTATCAAATGAAAGAACTTCCGAAGCATTTCATGTAAGTATTGATAAGTGTGATAAGGGCTAGTGGTAGAAAGATTTGGTTAAAAGTCCTAAAGACAAAGGGCATGATGGCACGTGACCTTCATCCTGGCGCCCAGAAGTCTGAAATAGGATGGTTGTCTGGGCCGCCTGTGTTGCAGAGCGAGGATGTCTAGCAACAGAAAGTAGTTGATGACTATGCATTAAGGAAGTGAACACCTTCCAGCAACAGAATAGCCTCTTCATTGGGATATCTAACCTAGACCGACTTCTGGATAAATGTACTTAAGCTCCAGGAAAGATTAACACTTTATCCAAACATTTTAAAGCATTTATTCAAATACCTTTTTTTGTTTTTTTTCGAGACAGGGTTTCGCTGTAACTTTGGAGCCTGTCTTGGAGCTCTTTTGTAGACTGGGCTGGCCTCGAACTCACAGAGATCCACCTGCCTCTGCCTCCTAAATGCTGTGATTAAAGGCGTGCACCACCACTGCCCAGTTTATTCAAACATTTTTAAAAGGGCTAGAAACATGGTTCAACAGTTAAGAGCACTGGCTGCTCTTCCAGAGGACGCTGGTTCAACTCCCTGCACCTACATGGCAGCTCACAAATGTCTGTAACTCCAATTCCAGGGGATCCAAAAACCCTCACACAGACACACATACAGGCAAAACACCAATGCCCATAAGAAGAAATCATTTAAAAAGTTGTATAAGAAATGTTTTTTGAAAAGGAAAGCAGCAAACTGCTTTAACAACTTGGGAAACAAGCTTTCTAAGCTGAACAAGGAAGTAATGATATTGGCTACAGCTAGACTTTGCCCTATTTGATATGGTCACATGGCAGCACCCTAGTTATATAACCAATTTATGGGTTGGCTATCTGTAAATGGCGATCTCAATTCAGAATTAATCAGTTAGAAGGACTTTCTGGAACAAAAATAACCTTAGGCTAAGAGCCTGCTTATTTTACTTTAATACCATCAGGCGTGAGTAAAAGCTGAGACTGTAGCTCATGATAGCGTATGCAAGGCCCCTGGCTCAGTCCCTACCTAACCTGTAAACACCAGCACCTTGGAGGCTAAGATCCTGCTAAGAAACAAGCAGAAAAGAAAGGCCAGCAAAACTGAGTGGACCCTAAAACCCAACATGGGTCATGTGTGCAAGAACCCAACATGGAGGAGAATATTGAAGAGCATGTAATGTCAGGGTTGGAGAGGCGGCTCAGCAGTTAACCACACTGGCTGCTCCTCCAGAGGACTCGGGTTTAATTCCCAGCACCCACGTGGCAGCTCACAACTGTCTGTAACTCCAATTCCAGGGGATCTGACACCTTCGCACATGCAGGCAAAACACCAACACACAAAAAATAAAAAATGCTTTTAAAAAGGAGTATGGGATTGTACTTCAACAAATGGTTTCTGTTGCATATGGAAAGGAATCCATCCCTCTAACCTCTGTTGAGCTTTTAGATCTAAGTCTTGGTCAGCCACTTACCTACTAGATCAGCAATCCCCCGAGTCTTTGTAAGGTTTAGGTTGTGGTACAGCAGCAGAGGCTTTTATGAGCCAGTTTTTAGTACAACCATTCTTTTTGTTTGTTTATTTGAGACAGGGTTTCTCTGTGTAGCCCTGGCTGTCCTGAGACTGACTCTGTAGGACAGGCTGGCCTCAAACTTCCTGCCGCTGCCTCCCAAGTGCTGCAGTTAAAGGCATTCGGCACCACTGCCTGAATCATAAAAACCATTCTTAAGAATCAAATTTTGGACCAGGCAGTGGTGGCGGCAGTGGTGGAGCACACCTTTAATCCCAGCACTCGGGAGGCAGAGGCAGGCGGATCTCTGTGAGTTCGAGGCCAGCCTGGCCTACAGAATGAGTTCCAGGCCAGCCAGGCCTACATAGTGAGACACTGTCTCAAACAAAACAGAACAAGCCTATTGTTTAGGTTTTCCTAATCCACAGTCTCTGTGTAACAGTTACTCATCTCTCACTGCAAAGTAACCATAGACCACACACAGAAGGGATGTGGCTGCCATCCAGTATTTATTTATTTAGGGACAAGATCTCCTGCCAGCCTTGACTTCATCACGTAGCCAGAGATGACTTTGGCCTTCTGATCTTCCTGCTTCCACCTCACGAGTCCTGGGATTCTAGACACGACACACCCAGTTGCTGTCATTTGTGCAATGCTGCGGGTCAGCCACAGGGCTTTGTGTTAGCAAACTCTCTCCCAACTGAGCTACATTCCCAGCTCCGTGCTTCATTTAGGAAAGGGGGCAGCAGGCAGACAGAAAATGTCAGGGAAGCAGAATTGAGTAGAAAGGCACCGTAGCAGCCATTACATTTTGAGATGCTGAGAACCAGGCAGGTGTTGGTGAGCTGGTCTGGAATTCCGCAGAGAGCTGCTTGCATCACTGGCGAGTGAGTTCTAACTTTCTCCCCGTGGTTTCTCATTTGTCTCACTGATGAACCTAATGAAAGTGTTAGCCAGCTCCCAGGTCTGAACTGGATTCTCTTGGTAGGAAAGCAGGCATCTTCTTAGCTGAGCCAAATAGTAATCAAACACTTATTCACAGTTTCATCTTATGAAACATCCTTGGAGAAAGTATTATCAAAGTCTTTTTGTTATTTTGGTTTGGTGTTTTGAAACAGGGTTTCTCTGTGTAGCCCTGGCTGTCCTGGAACTTGCTCTGTAGACCAGGCTGGCCTTGAACTGAGAGACCTGCCTGCCTCTATCTCTTAACTGCTGAGATTAAAGGTATGCCCCTGCCTGGTGTCAAAATTGTTTTGTTTTGTTTTAGTTTAGTTTGGTTTTTAGTATTTAAAGACAGGATTTCTAGCCAGGCGGTGGTGGCGCACGTCTTTAATCCCAGCACTCGGGAGGCAGAGGCAGGCGGATCTCTGTGAGTTCGAGACCAGCCTGGTCTACAAGAGCTAGTTCCAGGACAGGCTCCAAAACCACATAGAAACCTTGTCTCGAAAAATCAAAAAAAACAAAACAAAACAAAACAAAAAAGACAGGATTTCTCTGTGTAGCTTTGGAGCCTCTCCTGGAACTTGCTCTGTAGACCAGGCTTGACTTGAACTCACAGAGATTCACCACCTCTGCCTCCCAAATGCTGGTATTAAAGGTGTGCGTCCCTACTGCCCAGCCTGTTTTGTTTTGTTTTTGTGAGTTCAAGGCCATCCTGGTCCACAAATCGAGTTCCAGGACACCCAGAGGTGTTGCACAGAGAAACCCTGTCTCGAAAAACTAAAACCAAAACCATCCTAGTTTTTAATCTAGCAAAATAATTCAGTGGATGCCTTGGACTCCTGTCTTTAAATCGCATGGAAGATTCCAAGGAACTTGTCCTTTGGTTTCCATTCAGCCCAATGGCACACACATTCATACGCAGCTGCTGTGTCTGTACCAATAGAGAAAGCATCAGTACACATGAATGCAGTGTTTTGTTTTTGTTTTATGGTTCTCAAGAGTTCAGGACCTTCTGCTTGCTACCTCTACCACTGAACTACAACCCTAGAATACGATGTTTGGAAATATTATTACAATTTAATAGAAGTCTACTCACAACTTTCTTTCTATCTATCTATCTATCTATCTATCTATCTATCTATCTGTCTATCTATTATGTATATAGTGTTTTTGCATAGAGAACACCAGATCTCATTACAGATGGTTGTGAGCCACCATGTGGTGTCTGGGAATTGAACTCAGGGCCTCTGGAAGAACTGCCAGTGCTCTTAACAGCTGAGCCATATCTCCAGCCTGCAACTCTGCAACTTTCCTTTCTCTCTCTCTCTCTCTCTTTATTATTTACAACACTGTTTGGTCAATGGTTTAGGCATATTGCTAGCTAACTCTTTTTTTTTAAAGATTTATTTATTTATTATGTATACAACATTTTGCTTCCATGTATACCCACACACCAGAAAAGGGCACCAGATCTCATTACAGATGGTTGTGAGCCATCATATGGTTGCTGGGAATTGAACTCACGACCTCTGGAAGAGCAGGCAATGCTCTTAACCACTGAGCCATCTCTCCAGCCCTGCTAGCTAACTCTTACATCTTAAATTAACCCATATATTAATCTGCATAT